CATTAGATGATAACCAACAATATCTGTCACTTAAATATCATTATTAAAGATATATCTAAGGCTGTACCTGTGTTGTCTAGTTTTCCACCAGGGACTCTTAGTGAAATTCACAGATGTTGTTAAATGGGCAAAGTTGCCTAATAAAAGCAAAGTCCAAAGTAAAACTTATACCTAATAAAGAACGCAGTTTTTCTGGAAAAGAACTCAATAGACTTAAGATGCATTTTAGTGTTACCCCATGGTAACTCCATTATCTCTTTCTCCTATTTTGGTTCTGTTTAGTCAGTCTGTTACTTGAGTTTTGTCTATTTTTGCAAAAATATTCTTCTATCTATGTTCTTTGTCTTAATGTTTACTCACCTGGCTTCCCCACCACTAATCACCTCTCCAGGATTTAAGCTTTCTGTTTCCAGTTGATTCTTGTCAGATTCTCTCATCTAAATCGTTACTCTGCTTTCCTTTTGTTGACAGTGACTGTTTTAACCTAGAAGTCCATGAAAATAGCTTAATGAAAAATGCTTGGTTGGAAAATGTGACCAAGCCAAATTTTTACGCATTTAAACCTGGCTGTGAAATAAAATATCCAGTTTCTTCCTGTCTTCTTCAACTCCTGTCCTCTATCCCTTTTGGATCACCTGTTGTTTTTCCAGATGGACCTTTCGCTCCTCTCCTTTCCAGTGGAGAGCAGGAAATGCAAGCTATCAGGCAGGGACATGAATGTGCCCCTTGGATCCAGAACCCATTAGAAGTGAGATGGAACAAAAAGTTCCTTGAGATCTTCCAAAGCCGAGCTGTCAAAGCGACCACAGAGCCAATAACATGAGTTATGAAGATGTTCGGTTTGATTTAAGGCCCTTCTCTTCTGCTGTTGCACTCGCTTTTTATTCTTATGCTGTAACTTTGGTTTAATCTTTCGGGATAGCCTGCATTTACGTAAGTTTTAGGATATTTTTTTACTAGTTGTTTGCAACTTTGAAGACATTCTTTCTGGGTACCCATCTCTGCTTTTCAAGGTCCAGTCCAAGCCCAAACGCAGTCTGTTTCTCGTTGCTGCTCTCTGTTGGAGTGCCAGCGTCTGTCAGCAGCTCCTAGCAGCCCCTAGTTAGAGAAACTAATGGACATGATTTAAGCCCAGTGTTGCTCCTCTGACACAAATCAGGTGGACTGAATTTGCTTCTTTCTTGGAGATGGTTCCTAAATTATCTTCAGTTTCCAACTATCGAGCCTTTAATAAACACTCTGTGTCACCCGTGGTGAAGATAAAAGTTGTTAAAACCACTTTAAAATAAATTTGATTTACTGTCATTGCAGAAGTACAACAGTATGTATGTATTCTGCTCAGGGAAGAAAAACATATTTATTAGGTGCTTTGTAAAAGTACTCACTTATTTTGCAATTTACTAAAAAAAGTCTCTTCACAATCACAAATACCGATGTATTATATATAGATCAGAGCAAAGTAGTATATGAATGAGAAGGAGAAAAAAAAACCTCTCTTCCATCGCAAGTATGGCTGCACTGATAAATCAGCCCTGATTTCCTCAATTTTGGGAGATCAGTGATTGACTGATAAGATGTGAAGTTGATCTTATCCATCGATCTTGTCAACCTCTGCAAAGGTCTAAAAAAATCAGCCACTGTGTTCTGTTGCTTTGCTGTGTGACAGCCCGGCCCACCTGGAGCCACCTCTGCAGGATGAGAGCTGGGTTCACCCTGGGCGGGTCACCAGTCCGTCACATAGGCTGACATTCGCACTGCGGGCCCAAATGCTCAGTTCAAAGTTTTTGTGCAATCTGATTTTTTTGGCGTGGTCGTTCACATTTCCAAATAAATGCAACCTCTGTGTGTTGTACAAACGTTTTGTAACATGGACCAGATTTTACAACTTAAAGCACAAAATAATTTTGTTGCTCTGCAATAAATTAAACAACAAAGAAGCAAAATGAGTGACTTTTTTTCATTTATTTGGTTTAGAAAGTATGTTAGTCTATTCCAAACAAAAAAATGAGAATTTAAAAAACCCTCATCTATTAACCAAGTTTAATTCATTAATTTAATTAATATGCTCTGGTCCTTTTTTTACAAGATGTCTCTGGATTTACTATTAAATTAAAATTAAAACAGTATTTTAACACTTTCTGTTAAAAAAGAATCCAAGTTTTCATGGACATTTTCATGCTAAAAAGTAACAAAAGTGTCCAGACTAGTACCATTCTTTTAACTGCAGTCGGGGGCCACATAAAATTGCTTCCAGGGCCACAAACGGCCCCCGGGCCTCACTTTGGACACCCCTGAATTAACCCAACACCACTACAAAGTCAGTTGGGCTAACTGTAAAGCAGTAATGATGAAGACCAGTTCATGCCAATATTTATCATAAACCAAACATGGCTGTTGGTGGATGCTAAGTCTGAAAGGTTTTTGTGTAAAGTTCTGTGAAAGAAAGAAAAACTTCCTCTCCTCTCCTCCTTTCTTCCTTTTCGCCACACCCAGGCAGCAACAGGTCTGAACCGGTGTTGTCAGTGCAGATTTAGTGATCAGGAGTTGGAGGTTGGGTGAAGGCGCTGGTCGACGTCAATCCTCAGGTAAATACGCAAAGCACAAAGGCAACACTGCTGCACCTTCCTGTTTAAATCTACATGATTATACAACTGTGATTACTGCAAAATACAAGCACAGAAAACAAGGTGTTTACGAATGCATGTTATTATTAAAAGGGCTGATAAGCAGATGTAAAGTACTTCATTACTGTACTTGCGTAGACTTTTCAGGTATCTGTACTTTACTTGAGTATTTATTTTTCTTAGGACTTTTTACTTTTACTCCCGACATTTTAAGAGAAGTATCTGTACTTCTACGTAAGCAGAGAATGTCAGTGCGTTTGACACCTCTGCTGATATGTTATCTTAATGTACAGAACAAAAACCACCAAAAAAACAAAGTCAGTGTTTTGTTTCCTTTTTGGCTGGAGAGTCATTTGACACACGCAACAAAAAAGTTTGGACACCCCTGATAAACAATCTCACATCTCTCTGGGATTTGTCGGGTGGTTTTCGATCAACCAAAGAGGCTTCAGCTTTTATCACGTTGTGAAATCGTTGCTGTTCATCTTCAGGAAAAGTGTGCGCATCAGGCAGAAACACCCCCAAAACAATGGCTCTCCCCTGCTTTTGTAACGCAGTGACAAATGACAAGTGCTGGCTGCCTGCAAGTCTGCTCACCACTCAATCAGCCTGTCTTTGATTATTATGTGGTGGGAGCGCTCCGTCTTTTGTCTATAGCGGCTGGAAACGCAGATGATGAGGCAGAAGCATGAGCTAAACTTTCTGGAGTGTTTATAAAGGAGTTATAGTCCACATTTGATGGATTATGCTGGATTTCCAAAAGGTTGGGTTAATAAACGCAGGCTTGTTGGTTCCTGTTTCTGTTAGGCTGATCTGGAAGGACGGCCTTAAACCAGACAAACAAATGTATGCAGATAAGTTTTCATCGGAGCCTCAACCTGCAGCGAAGTTTCAGGAATGCTCTCGTTCTTCCAGGCCAGCTCGTAAATTCAATAACAGATCCACAAGCAAACACTGTAAACATCTGTAAACTATCATGGCCTCCCCATTGACCGGAGAACCATCACTGGGCTCCAGCAATCACCGTGGGAGAGAAAGGAAAGCAGCAGAGCGTGTACAAAGAAAGCAACTATTAAAATATCAGCATTTTACAACCTGATTTCAAACTGTTGGTTGGAAGCCGGGATCAATGAGGGGTTTAGTGTTTGCTTATTTAACATATTTCCACAAAAGAATGTTTTAAAAAGTGTTTTATGATTCACTCATATATGGGTGTCTTTGTATTTTCTTCATCTTCTCTTTTGGAAAAATGGTTTTTAGATCAATCCAATGTATTTTTTTTTTGCAATTTAATTAAGTTATTTTTGTATTTATTCAGTAAGTAAAATAAACAAATGTGATTTTTCTCCAACAAGTTAATCAGAAATAGGACCAATAAGCATTAATTATGTGTAGGTGGGCACATCTTTAATTATCACAGTCATTCTCAAACAATTAAAATCTGCAAATACCTGATATGCCCTCTGAAAGCTGCCTATTTTGATCATAAATACACCAAATTACACCTTATTATGCATGAATACGCACATTGGGAACCACCTTAGCCGTACCACAGAAGCTTGTAGCCGTGTCCGAATTCAGGGTCTGCCTGGACCAAGGACCCGTCCTACGTAGGCCGGTCCTTGGAAGGCCGCGAATAAACGAAGACCGGAAAAGACAATCTGTGAATTCGGACGGGTCTCGCCTTCAGCGCGGTGTAACTCGTGTTGCCTAGCAACCTGCTTGTGTGAGAGGAGAAAGAAAATTCAGTTTCAAACAAGTTTGAAAGCCTAACAAATAGATTCATAAGCACAAAAACGAAAGGACTTATATCTATAATTTCAGTAGTTTTATAAATGTTCAATATAGTTCCACTTAGTTGTAGTTTTTCCCCATTAATTTACGTTTTTATTCATTATAGTTAAAAATGTTTTCTCAATTTCAGTTTACGTTACTTTGTTGGTTTTAGTTCACCATAACAGCCTCGGCTCCTGCACTGTACAACCAAACCCGTTATACACAGGATGTTTTATCGTCATCTGGTCTCACTGGTTTTGAAAATCGACTGACAATTTTACCGTCTTACCGTATGAACCAGGTAGGAGTGGGGTTCTTCTGAGAAAACACCCAGGCCTGGATAAAATCTCCATAAACCTTATGGAAAACCACACTGATCCAATTACCCTCAGAAGTCACGTAATTAGAGTCTATCTGTGTGTAATTTAATCTCAGTATAAATCCAGCTGTTCTGTGAAGGCCTTCTCTAATGTTAGGCTACATTAGAGAACAAATAGCCTCAAGGAGACCCAGGAACATGGCAGGCAAGTCAGGGTGAAAGTTGAGGAGCAGTTTAAAGCATGTTTGGGCTATAAAACAAAAACCCAAGCTTTGAACATCTTAGAGCGTCTTGGTTCAGTTCAGTCAATCATCTGAACACAAAAGGAGGATAGCACAAACTTGCCAATACATGAGCATTCAGCTAATTTGACAGGCCAATCAAGGATCAGAGAAAAATGGATCATATGGGCCTATAATCCTGATAAGTAGAAATAAGGCAATGAGAAGTAAAATACTTGCAAACAATGATAAAATAAATTCAGTTTGTCGACTTTAATTTTATATAAATTGCTTTCCTTATTGGTATATCAAATTTTTTATGGTCAAAATCGCTTAATTTACGCATTTCCTGTTGAAATACGTGAAAGAAGACCGGGTGAGGCAGTAGAGTGCAGTTATGCGCTTCACCTGTGGGGGCGCTGTTTCACACTAGTGAATGAAGCAGGCATTTGGCGCCTATCGCTCTCCGACTTTATATCGCCAGTGTCGTTGTTTAATTACACATTTTCTACATACGTTGACATTTCACAGTTTATTGGAGATGTTTAATGAATGTTTGTGAGATATTTAGTTGTTCTGATTGGTGATAAAAGTGCAGTGAAAATGCGGAGGGTGAGGCAGAAGATACCACAACCAGCAACAGGTGCTCTTCTTCTACGCCTTGAAAGGATCCAAAACAGTCGGAGGGGAAAAAATACAGACGGACCAGAACCGTCCAAGGCCACTCCCTAGAGGTCAAGATTTGTGAAAGACCTGATTTGTAAAATTTAAAGAAAAATGAGAAACAAAGATGGCTTTTTTGTTGTTGTTGTTGTTGTTTTTACAACAGAATTACAGAGATATTTGTGGACATCATATAAAATTAAGGTAAGGTCATACATAATTTTTAATTTTAATCAGAAAAGAGAGAGGTCAGCCAAAGAAAACATTCAAATAATTAAAAAATATGTGACCTTATTAAATATTCTTCTATCTTTCTTGCTTTTATATTGTTGGAAGCTTTAATTTCTTATGGCCAAAATTAAAATACAGCTTCTATATTGGATTTTGGATGGAAAAATAAAATTGTGTGAAGCTTAAAAAAAGACTTTAAAATATGGAGGAGTTTCACCTTCAGAGAAAAGGATAAAGTTCAGACTTATCCATTCAATTTGACTTAACCTGACCAATTTTGTAAAAACTTACGCAAAGCTCCCTGAAACAAATGACTTGCAGCTGTAACTGGAGATGTGAAGAACCATTTTCTTTACGGTTCATAACTTTTCACTGCTTTCTGACAGTCTATTATATAAAATCTCAATAAAATACATTCAGTTTAGGGGATATAACGTGACAAAAAATTAAATTGGTACATGTACTTTTTTTGTTTGAGAGGTTAAGAGTTAAGTTGCAAATTATTCTATTCAAAGAAACGTTTCAGAAAAAACTCCTGTCTCACTCTAATTCTATCATCTGTTTTCCTTCTACATCTTTTTTGTAAATTATGAACACTGAATGCCCCGTTAGCCCCGGGCCCTCAGAGGAATTATAATAGTTTACCTCAATCTGATGTTATGTCTCCCTGCTGAACTGTGGCAAGTCTTTCTCATGGCAAGCGTCTCGTCCAAGCAGTCTGAGCTCCACCCGGCCATCAAACACGATCTCTGAGCCAATCTGCTGGGAGTCCAATACTGCTGCAATATTGCATGAGAACGAAGTGAACTTAATCCGGTCAGGGACAGAAGATTTTAGTAAATATAAACTCAAACTTTGCTGAACAATAAGTGGTTTATAGAAAGCTCTCTAATACTTTAAACCCTTTGACCCCCAGTGTGTCTTGGAACCAAAGCTATTGCCCCCAAATAGGGGTCCTTCATGAGTGAAGGGGTTAATATAACAGACCGTTAGGAATCGACTGCTAAATCTGCAGTGGTAGCTTCCACAAAAATATGTTTTTTACATATTTGTCAAAACTGACACTATGTAATGACTTATCATAAGAGATGCAGGATTTCCCCCAGTGTATTATAAGCCTGGCGGGCCACCAGGCTTTACTTGTG